CACTGAAGGTAACTACTTTCATTAATTTGTTATACATTATTTCAAGGCTGTCCTATAACAAAATTCATTTAAAAGTGGCATGGTCCTCCCTCATTATTTTGATTATACTATTCAAGGACATCAAGTAGTGCACTCACAAGTCTTATATTTTTTATTTTCATGGTAACTCTGAGTATAGGAACAAAATGCTATTCTTTGCAGCATATTTAAACATCTCTGCTAAACAATTCATGCTGCTGTATATTTCAGTCCTTAACTCTGCATCAGGTTTCCTTCTACACAGATCAGGTTAATGTTCCTCCCTATCCATTAAACTCAGAACTCCTCTGTTTGTTAGCCATGGTGGCTAATGAGAAATACTTCCATGTGGCAGTTTCCAAGCAGTGGCTATAATAATATAAATAAGCTTCTGGCCACATGAATTGTGCCTCCTGCACATTCATGGAGACCTTAACATGCGAAAGGGCTCTGAGTCATATTTGGTTAGTCCCTGAGTTGAGCCACAGATATGCAGAGCTATTTCCTAGCATAATCTACAGTGTGGTCTTGACTTGAGAACTTAATCCGTATTGGAAGGCGGTTCTCAAGTCAAAAAGTCTGTAAGTCAAGTCTCCATTGACCTACAGTGCATTGAAAACCGATTAATCCTGTAACAGGCCGTTTTTGTTCCATTTTGGTTTTTTTCTGGTCTGTAAGTAAATTCTCAGGCTGCAAGTCAAACCTAAATTTTGCGGCCAGAGAAGTCTGTAACTCAAAAAGTCTGTAAGTCAAGCCGTCTGTAAGTCAAGGGTCCACTGTATATAACTGGCATAAAGTAACTGTAATTCAGACACAGAGTGCCTGAAGAACTATGAATGGAGGCTCGTAACATTGTACAGGAGGCAGCAAAAAATTGCAAAGAAAAGGAAATGCAAGAAAGCAAAGTGGCTGTCCAGCGAGGCCGTATGGAAGTGAGAGCTAGACCATAAAGAAGGCTAACCGGCGAAGAATTGACGTTTTTGAATTGTGGTGCTGGAGGAGACTCTTGAGAGTTCCCTGGACTGCAAGGAGATCAAACTTATCCATTCTGAAAGAAATCAAGCCTGAGTGCTCACTGGAAGGACAGATCCTGAAGCTGAGGCTCCAATACTTTGGCCATCTCATGAGAAGAGAAGACTCCCTGGAAAAGACGCTGATGTTGGGAAAATGTGAAGGCAAGAGGAGAAGGGGACGACAGAGGATGAGATGGTTCGACAGTGTCATCAAAGCTACCAACATGACTTCAGGCGGCAGTGGAAGACAGAAGGACCTGGTGTTCTCTCGTCCATGGGGTCACGAAGAGTTGGGCACAACTAAATGACTAAACAACAACAACTAACTGTAATTTAAACTATTGTTTGTTAATTGCAGGTTTAATAAACCCACCTTTTAAAAACATAATGTATGATGCATTTTTGGCCTATTAATGGACTTGTTTACTTTTCTGTTTATTGCATTTACGTATATGCCACCTTTTCCCAAGAATTAGGACTCGAGGAACTTACAAACTAGAAAAACTGTGGAAAATTAAAATACAATAGAATTAAAATATTAAATTTGGATTAAATTCATAGTTTGGGATCAGTGTACAGAGAAATCATCTCAGGTGCCTATAAGGACTTTGTCATCTGAATACAATTGTCCAGATTAAAGGCAACAAAAAGGCAACAGCTGCTTTGAGGAACCTTCACAACACTAAAGCAAGGAGCCTGTTTCAGATGGACTGCATTGAGAATGCTCCAACATATGTCTAGATTCATGGCCAAATGTTGACTTTATACAGTATATATAAAAGGAGAGATGTAAAATACTATATGTAAATCCATTGGAGAATATATGTAAATCTACTGGGAAAAGTCCCTATAGGCACCTGAGTTGATTTCTCTGATCCCAAACCATGAATTTAATCCAAACTTAATATTTTAATTCTATTGTATTTTAATTTTCCACAGTTTTTCAAGTTTGTAAGTTCTGAGAGAGAGAGAGAGAGAGAGAGAGAAGAAATTTATTTTATAAACTCTGAGACAACTTTCTATGCAATTATTCCAAACAGAGATATTAGTTTGAAAAAGCATGTATGCCGGCATTATCTGAAAGGCTGTGTAAACAAGCTTGGGTCCTTTTACTGAGAGAAAGGTAAGTTATAAACAAAATAAACACAGGAAATTAATGAAAGAGGCATATTTTCCCAGCATGTAAATTGACAGTAGAACCTATTGTCTATATCTGATCTATGTGCCTAGAATAGAGTCTCATTATGTTATAGATACAATTGAAGAAAACGAGTCTGAGAAGAGGCTTTTTCGCTCTAATGAAATATAGGTTTTTTTATAGTGATGATTTACACCAAAGGAAAATGTTTTGCAATTAATGCCAATGCTCACAACAGCCATGATATCATCTGATGAGATCTGCTACCGAGGTATGAATTTCAAATACCACCAAGTATTCTACAAACCTTTGGTTTAGTAAAACCTCTGTACATGTAATCAAGTATGATTTGTCCAAGAGACATAGTCAAATGTATTTATTTACATGCATGCTGCAGAAGTGATTATTTTTAAAGCTTCGTTTTCATAATCTTTATGATGTTTCCCTAAATACAGCTGTTTCTGCTGTATCATTTTACAATATAATTCAGCCATACAGCATTAAGGATATAGTTTGTGAAATTGGCTGTAAATTAGGAACCTGGCAAATTTTTCTCTATTGCTTAATTTGTATCCTAAGACAGAAATTATGAGAAGATCCATTTGATTTTAATAGCTGAATGATCTTTAATATGGATACAAGAAACTTTCCATTCTTCAGTGAGTGAGAGGCACTTATCTGCAAGATCTCTTTAAACTTTTTGGTGGCTTGCAAATAGATCTGGTATCCTTTTCCAATACAACTTTACTGCAGTGATTCTCCCTGTTGTAATAAATCATTTCACATCTATCATGTGGATGTACACATATCTTACGATTTAAGAGTTTGTATTAATACTAAGAGAATATCACTTCCCAGTGGAACCTGCTATTACATTCTCCAGCTGCAAGACGGGAAGTCCTCTGGGTTCTGTAACTGTCTGAAGGTACTGTCAAATTTTACATACTATCTTCATGGCCCTAAGCTAGAAAGCATCTGCCCATGAAGTAAGATTTAATGAATGGATTTGCCCTGCAATGTGTCTAAAAACTGGAAGATCATGAAATTTATAGAACAGCGATAAAAGGATGGAGTTGAAGAGACTTTGTTGCATTTCTCACATTGGCCTAAAGAAAACTGGTAGTTTTATTTAAGATGACCAACGTTTGATAGAAAATAAGGTCTATATGCATGCTTGAAAATACACAGATCTATACACAGATAAATCCAAACTTCATTCTTCAGCAATACATTATTCCATATACAGTACAAAGCATATTGTGGGTGATCATGGAACAAAGGAGGGTGAATTGCCTTAGAGAGAGAACAAAGGAGTCGACAGCGAAAGTCTGAGCCAGCGGAGCCAACTGCCAATACCCTGAGAGCTCTTTTATTGACTTAGCATGATTACATAGTATGTTATGAGAGAAACAGGTAGGATACTAGTTACCTAATCATAACTAAGATTGGCTAAAATAACACTTTGATCTTATGCTCTACCTCACAGCGAAAGGGCAGAAGAGGGGGCTACCCTGCCTGCTGGCAGTCGCCGCATCCTGCCAGGAGTGTATGCATGTCACTGAAGCAGAATGCAGCTACAGCCTTTAAACAGAAGTTTCCCACAGCATATCTTTATTACAAGCATGAAGAGTTATTTGAAGATAACAGATCAACAGTGTTTATTGTACTAAACACTGGTACTTGACTGGAAGTTTTAAAAAAAATCCTCCATCTGCAATGCAATATGATTAACAGAGAACAACTGAGTCTCTGGAATCAGTGAGATTTCCCCCAAAATATTAAAGCTAATGGAAGAGAATTGCTTATATGTTTTGGTGAATCTTTTCAATCAATGTACGGGAATCATTTGTAGAATCAGGCTTAGATTTACTTTTATTAGTCCACTCCAAAAGGAAAATGCTAAACTTTGCAGTAACTAAATAATAAACTTAACAAACCATTTTCTTAGGGTTTTTTTTTAAAAAATATACATGGCAAAATTTGTAAGATAGGTGAAAATAGATTGGAGACACATAATTTGAATTTAGATGAGGATTTGGATCCAGATATTCTACCTACATGTACTTAGGAAGTGATGCCATGATATGAAGAAATATATGTACTGCAACTGGCACAGAACCGGACTGCACAGCTGGTAAGTGGTGCCGCTGCATGGACTCATATCATGGCAGTTCTGAAAAACCACCTGGATAAAAAGGGGCAGCAGGCTGCCGGTTGCTGCTCAGGCCCAATTGAAAGTGCTTACTTTGATATATAAAGTGCTAAACGGCTTAGGACCTGGTTACTTAAAGGACACCTTCTTCCATATGAGCCTGCCCGTCCTCTAAAATCAGTCCAGGAGGCCCTTCTGAAAGTGCCATCCCTGAAAGAGGTGAGGGGGATGGCATGTCGAAATAGGGCCTTCTTGGCTGTTGCACTCCCAACTTTGGAACACCCTCCCTATAGAGAGCCGCCTGGCTCCAACACTTTTAGCTTTTTGGCGCCGGGCAAAGACATTTTAATTAAATAGTATTCTTTAGCTGGCCATATGAGCAGCAGGATTTGTTAATATCAATGTTTTAATGATTGTTTTTAATATAGGATATTATTATAATATTGCTTATTTTTAATGCTTTTAAAGTTTTAATATTGTTGTATGTTGCTCAGAGACTGCTGGTAATGGCGCGGCTAAAAAATCTTGCAAACAAACAAACATGTCTTGATTATCTGCTTGAAAATGCAAAACATCTCTTTCATTACACAGCCTCTATCATTAGCAGATTGGCATTGCAAATATTCCACAGTGAATCAATTTCAACACACACCAAATAATTCACATGGAGACTTCTTACCTGAGCTGGCTTCTTCTGGACAACCTGTTGTGGCTACACAGACATATACACACAAAGAGAGAGAGAGAGAGAGAAAAAGATAAAATATTTATATATTTTACGTGAATGAAATGTGCTTCTTTTTTGGATGTAGTGTAACATATGCGTGAAAATACGCAATTTGATATGATTAGGATTATATATACATATCTCTGCTCAGAACTACATGTTTCTGCATTTCTGTGTAGAGCAGATTAATGAGGAATAGATAACATTTACAGTACAAGGTCCGCATTGATAACATAGTTGAGGAGGGCATAGATTGTTTGCACATTCCTACACTTAGTTCAGTTCAGCAATACATAATTTCCCTGATGATAATGTATGGAAAAAATACTATTAAGACAGGTTTGTGCAGCAGAAGGCATTGTTCCTCTTCACAGAATTCAAACTGATGAACTTAAGAAACACTAGTAAAGCAATACCATACAGAGTCTTAAAGAGTCCTGAAATGATGCATTGCATTGGGTGACAACTATTTTTGTGGCCATTCAGCACTTATATGGTGCACCATGTTTAGGAGTTACCAGGCCTGATCCATCAGCAGCAGTCAAAAGGGAATCAAGAATCTGAGCTGAAGAACATACACAATACACTAGCATCAAGAAGTCCACATTGCTCAAGCAAAGTCATGGCTCCAAAAGAAAGCCTCTCATACCCCTTCCTATTTAAGAAGAACCAATATCTAGGGCCAATCCTGAACCTAAGAAGACCTCACCAGCCCATAATGGAAATGGGCAACTATTTTTCTATCAAGGGACTCTTTCTCTTGGGGTAAACCTGTCAGGATTCACATGCAGGTGAAAGGACAAGGAGGCAAGTAATAGGGCAGGGTGAGAGTCAGAAGTGAGGTGCTCCATTGTATTCTCTTTTATTTCTCTGCCACACTCTTTTCTATTTCATTACAGTCCCTCCAAAACTCCCTCATTGCCAACCTCACATGGTGGACCACTGGAGAATTGAGAAGCTGCTCTTCCACAGGCCTGAACTCACTGGCAGAGTGTTTTGAAATTCGGCCAACAGCTATTTGAGGTCAGGATGAAATCTGCAGACTCCCCAACCTTGTACCAGAACATGCCCCTAATGCTACTCTGGTGGTTCATCACATGAGTCTGCGGCACACAGAGCTAAGGGTTCCCACTTCTAGCTTAGAAGACCCCTAAGCTAGAAACCCCTAACAGGGGCTTGTGGACTGAGCATAAGAGGGTTTTTTTTAGCACACACTCTGCCCCCTGCTTATCATTCAGACCAAGTAGAGCCACACAAATAATTCAGAATTGTGTCACCCACTTGACCATAGCCAACTGCTTTTGAGGAAGAGCTCATGACCAGCTTTGCTTCCACAGCTGGAAGCCACACCGGTGTTTCTATCAGTTAACAGCAGACCTGCATGAAAAGATATTAATGATGCTGTAAAATTGCACTGAGATTTTTCAGGTCTTTTAGCATCCTTTATGATAATACAACTAAATAACAAATGATAATACACAACCTTATAAAGTCTAGTCAACTCCTTTCTGCTCTTCCACTGGTACATGGGTTTTATGGATAATGTGGTATTTTTGTTGTTGTTTACTCATTAAGTCATGTCCGACTCTTTGTGACCTCATGGACCAGAGCACGCCAGGCCATCCTGTCTTCCCTTGCCTCCCGGCATTTGGTCAAATTCATGTAGGTCGCTTCGGTGACATTGTCCAACCATCTCGTCCTCTGTCGTCCCCTTCTCCTCTTACTTCCACACTTTCCCAACATCAGGGTTTTTTTCCAGGGTGTCTTCTTTCCTTTTAAAGATATTATTTGGCCAAGTCTATATGCTGATTTCCTGGAGAGTGTTTTCCACTTGGATGTTGTGAAGAGGTTTTTCTTTACCACGGAAAGGAACCTACAATCACCCACCACTGTTGTCTTCTCTAAACGTCGAGGCCTTTTGTGTTTCAGAGCTCACCAGTGCATTTTTTTTTCTTAGAGTCTACCAAACCATTGATTTGGCCACTGCTAATATTTCTGTTATTTCTCTGATGGATATTTTCCTTACTTCCTCCCTCCCTTCTTTCCTTCCTTCGCAGCCTAAGTATGGCCTGTTTCACTTGCATTGAGAAGTCCTTTGTAGCCATATTGTGGGTTCACAGCAACTGCTTCCAAATGTGATTGCCAAACCTGGAATCAACTCTAGACCTTTTACCTGCTTAAGGGATGATGAAATAATGAAGGAATATCCCACACTTGTCTATGAAACAGCTTTGGAGTCAATTGTCCAATTACTGTACTTTCAGTCTCTTTAAAATGAGAGGCTACATATTAAAAAGCTGTAATTCCTAAACTGTCCCTCCAATTTGGATGTGGCAAATTGAAGGGCAAGATATGGAGACAGTGACAGATTTTACTTTCTTGGGCTCCATGATCACTGCAGATGGTGACAGCAGCCACGAAATTAAAAGACGCCTGATTCTTGGGAGGAAAGCAATGACAAACCTAGACAGCATCTTAAAAAGCAGGGACATCACCTTGTCGACAAAGGTCCACATAGTCAAAGCTATGGTTTTTCCAGTAGTGATGTATGGAAGTGAGAGCTGGACCATAAAGAAAGCTGACCACCGAAGAATTGATGCTTCTGAATTGTGGTGCTGGAGGAGATTCTTGAGAGTCCCCCGGAATGCAAGGAGAACAAACCTATCCATTTTATTTTATTTTTTTTAATTTTATTTATTTTTGGACTTATATACCGCCCCATAGTGCTACAAGCACTCTCCGGGCGGTTTACAATTTTAATTATAAAGGCTACACATTGCCCCCCCCAGCAAGCTGGGTACTCATTTTACCGACCTCGGAAGGATGGAAGGCTGAGTCAACCTTGAGCCGGCTACCTGGGATTTGAACCCCAGGTCGTGAGCACAGTTTTAGCTGCAGTACAGCGTTTTAACCACTGCGCCACGAAGCTGACCACCGAAGAATTGATGCTTCTGAATTGTGGTGCTGGAGGAGATTCTTGAGAGTCCCCCGGAATGCAAGGAGAACAAACCTATCCATTTTGAAGGAAATCAACCCTGAGTGCTCACTGGAAGGACAGATCCTGAAGCTGAGGCTTTAATATTTGGCCATCTAATGAGGAGAGAAATCTCCTTGGAAACAACCCTAATATTGGGAAAGAGTGAAGGCAAGAGGAGAAGGGGGCGACAGAAGATGAGATGGTTGGGCAGTGTCATCAAAGCTACCAACATGACTTTGACCCAACTCCGGGAGGCAGTGGAAGACAGGAGGGCCTGGTGTGCTCTGGTTCCTGGGGTCACGAACAGTTGGACACGATTTAATGACTAAACAACAAAAAACCCTCAACTATAACTTGAATTTATTTTGGTAAACAGCCGAAATAACAAAACTTGTATGTGTCCAATTATTTCCAAACCTAACTGTATTTACTGATACCAGAGAAGGAAGCACTCCAGGATTGCAGAATAAATTCCAGCCCTATGAAGGGGACTTCTTATTCAAACAGAGCACTCATTCATTCACAACTACTCTTCAGTTCAATGAAAGCCTACACAATTCCCTTCATGCCAAAGTGATACCATGATATATATCAAGGGCAAAATTCTCTCTTGTTGCATATCAACAGCTGCACTAAAAGATCTCTTCCCTGATTAAAACCTCAAAGATGTGCATCCAAGTGGTAGTTTTCCATTATAAAATCAGAGACAGTGCATGTGTGTGTGTGTGTGTGTGCGCGCGCACACACACACACTCAAAAATATATGGTTTTGTTCATTCTAATCAATGAGTTGATTAGAATATAAAAATGAGTGACATTTGTGGTGGTATAAATCTTTTTTTGGCTGAATTGAAATAGCCAAGAAAAGCATTAAAATTTCTGAGCATATGTGTGGATGTGTGTGGGAAAAAGAGAGAATGAGAAAGAAGATGGAAAGTTTATAGTTCTGTCTGTTTAAGATCACAAGTCCATGCTTTTAAAATTGCAAGCCGTAATCTAGCTGGCAAAACTACTACTAGCATTTCAGACAGCTGAAGGCCTGAATGAGTAAGATTCATATAAACTTTGGTCTGCATCCAATCAGTCAAAGTACAGTGTTTTCCTTTTGCATTTTTCATGAATGGCCACAGTATTGTGCCTCGGCCATTCATAAAAATAAAAACAAACCAAAACAAACACACACAAAAATGTTCTGGGTCCAGTCTGGAGCCACTGGGTGCCAGAGGCTGAGAAAACATACTGGCAGCTCCAACTCCAAACAGCACTGAAGTATTCTGGGATCTGCTTGGTGGTCTGTAAACTATGAAGTGCTGTGTGGAAGGGCAGCTGGTAGAATTACTGTGACACATACTAGGCAGCGAGCCAGAGCTGGCCTATTTTCAGACATTGTCTTTCCTCTCATTGAAGTGTCAGGACCTAATTCATGGAAAATTTGGTGAGTTGGCAGCTGTTCCAGAAGATTTCATTGAGCTATAGTGTGCAGGAGTCACATGAATGTAGAATACTCAGCCAAGAAATAGGGGGATTTCTGAGCAGTAGAAACCAGTCAGCTTAGAAAAATGCACGCGGGGGTTTGATGTGGTTTTTGAATAAAAATGTATACAGGTGTCATCAGCAGAACAAAAAAGCAAGAAGGCATGATAATGATCAAAACTGTTAAAAAGATGCAGGCTTTTGAAAGGCACAGCCTTGTGTCAGCAACACTCATATCCTGAAGGGTTTCAAAAGTGTGATCAGCTCAAGGTTTGTATTGAGTGCACTGAGAGACGGCACACTTTTAGAGGGAAAAGAGAAGGGAAAGAGAAAAGACTAAACATGGAAATGGTGCTTGCCACTTCTTTCCCCTTGCCTAAAGGTTTTGCATGCTGACCGATTTGGGAGGCAGGTGAGTGGAGCAGGAAAGCTATTTCTCACATGCTGGATTAGTGGACAATGGCTAGCATCCTTTTGCTAGTCTCAGCTAAAGGACAGACCTGCTGAATCTATTGGTGAATTAGAACTCAAAACT